TCCCTGCTGTCCGTCGTCATTCTCCGCTGCTCATCCTCCTTCATGTTCATGTCCTGGTTTGTGTCCACTAGTTTAGTCGTTCTCAGTTTAGATAGCCTTCTGTTCCTTTTGCCGTTTGCCCATTTTTATTTTGTGTTTAATAAACCACCCTCACACCTTTACAAGTGCCTGCGTTTGGATCCTCCTTTATTTCTTCCACACGGCTCAGGGTTATTCAGGCTGCAAACCTTCATCACTCTTTATGTTTATTGGACACACATCTTTGGTCAAGTGGAATGTGATTGTGTTGGTGATTTGTATCTTTGTGAGGTGGATGGTTTTTTTTCTTGGGTAACATCACTTCTAAATATTCAAAGTATTTTCAAACAATGGAAGATGATCCTTTTTGAGGAAAAAGCTCTTTACCTTCTGCTGTCCCAGGCATTTGATTTTTTTCTTTTGTACAGTGGTACTCACAGAGACAGCCCAGAAAACTTCACACTGCAGGGTGCAGGGACAGCTGTGATTGGCACATGCAGGCACATCATCAGGCAGTGATTGAGGGAGCGCATGACTTGCTTTTGCTTTGCATTCTATTGGCGGAGCACACATTTTCATTGTTGCTCGATCATATTGATTACGTGAAGCCAAAATTGTGATCATGACTAAAATTTGCCCTAATTTAAACTTGAAGCCTTAATTTTAAGATTTGTTTGCTTTTCCATGTGTTTCCATGTGGATATACTAACTGGGACCATTAAAAAAAAAAAGCATACTATGTCCATTACTTTTTCTCACATTATCACACTCCGATGTGATGGTGACACACAACAGCAATCACTCACTCCTCCTGTTGTCCCCCTGAGTGGGTTCCAATCATTGAGACCCTTGACATGGGGGTGATGCAACAGTAGTTAAGGGAGCGCTTAACACCCACTATCATGTTTGCCTCAAACAAAAAGCACGACATCGCTCGCTTACTAGCATGCATACATACTAGGAGTTTAATTCTCACTTTACAAAGAGACATTTACAGATCAGTGTAAGATGATGAAAAACTTACGTTTAGCATAGCAGAGCATAAGTGGAAGAGCATCAACTAAACAGTCATGAAATTGACCTAGCTTGCTCCTTTTTTTCCCGACAGACCAACAGTTATAATAAGCATCTCTGCAAATGTGCATTCGATTTTAAAATCAAACTAGAAGACAGAAACATACTTCTGGTTCTACTGTTTGAAGGTTGAAGAAGATGATCAGTGTGATTGTTGGACAAGTTCCTTTCAAAGAGAGCAGGTATCTGAGCAACATGAAACTACAGTGATGAAGATTCAATTATTTATAAATATCATAATAATGATTGCCATTAACTGGAAATTACATGAAAAATGGTGGTGAGCCACAGCCAATCACTTCGCCACACATCCATCCCTGAGGATATCATCCATTGGCAATTGCACCAATTTTCACAACTTTTTTACAAACCATTCTGGGGTTGACTATCTCTGCCCAATTCAAGGATCGAGACAAAAGACCAGAAGAAAAATGCAGGAGATGGAGAAAGATGAATAAAAAAAGTTCTACGGGTGCCTGCACAACTAGATATGTGATTAAGAGCTTTATTACTATGTTATTACTGTAGACTCCAAATCCATTACAGGTTCTGAAGAATGACAAACAGGTACCGATGCAAGGAAAAAGAGACGTCTTGGGCAGGATTGTTGTGCTATTATTACTGTGGGCTCACGCTGTATTTTTAGTGGACTTAATGAATTGACAGAGCACACAGAGGACACAAACACAGACATTTTCAACTGCTACTGACTGATCACGTTAAGATCTTCATATTCATTTAGCACTTACAGTGATACACTGTGTATAAGTGCTAATTATTGCTACCTCAGGATTCACCAACGGTACATTCATGCTAAAATAACCCGGATGCTTATTGCAAAAGCAGCTGGCTTATTTACTTAGTTTTTAAGCCAAATGTAAACTGAACCAAGTCTCTGTGTTTGTGGGTTTATTGGGTCACACTGTTTATTTTCTCAGCAGTCCAAACGAACTGAACAGAGCACAAACACATCAGAGTTAGAACCAGTCTACATAGATCATGAAAAATGATGAAAGCATTCTTAAAAGTGGACCTATTACGCTTCTCTGTTATTTTTTTTCTCATGTGTGTCCTGCTCAATTGACAGATGCTCATATTAAACATGAGCAAATAACAAAGTTTCAAATTTTAGCTCAGTGTGTAGCTGTGGCTAAAAGCTTTAGCAGTGGCACAAACTTTGTCTTTGTCTCACTTTTTTGATTTGTTTTTTACTTGCGTTACTTTTTACGTTTCAAATTAATGGAAAATTACTTTCGGCAGTGGCGACACTATCAAAATTTTTACCATGAATGCATGCATCCCTGTGGATCTTAAGCACGAGCTTCAGACTGCTCTAAACACTCTGTTTCAGAGTATGATGGGTATGATGTCATAGAAAAGGGGCATCTAGGTACCTAGGTCACACCTAGGGTCAGGGTGAGGAGTAGGATAAGGGTTGGCTGCCTCTTTTTAAGGTTAAGTTTTCAAGCACTTTAAGGATGCACAACATCCTTCTTCTGTTATTTACACATAGGTCATGTCTACAGTAATGCTCCTCAAGGCTTGAAATAGCACACAGTAATCAACGTATGAGTGAAATTGAATATTACATGAAGTGGTAAAAACTGCACAGGGAAATTCTCTTTTTACAAAGCAAACAGCCCCTACTTCCCACCTCCTATCCAGCCCTCTTGGCATGTCGTAGCATGTGTATTTATGTAGCAATTGAGTGGCATTTATCACACAGCTTATTAGTCTGGGGGAGACAGCCTGTTAGTTGGCATATGTTCAGATCCTGGTTAAAGACACACTGCTCCCCAAGGGGATAGTAGAACGTTGACATGTGTGCATATGGTGTGTGTGTGTGTGTGAATGACAGCAGACAGTCGCTGCAGAGGGTGCCCTGAGCCTCCATTAACACAACCCACCATGTTGCTATCCCTCGGCTACCCGGCCATGCTGAGAGAGACCTCTAGAAACCTGGAGGGGAGCGAGTTCATCTGAGTGCATGGAAGAGGAAGACGACAGGGCAAATGTACAGAGAGAAAGCAGGAAGAGGAGGCGACGAGAACCTGAGTCAGACAGGATAAGTGAGAGGAGGGAGAATGTTGGGAAGGGAAGGATGAAATAAGAGGAAGGAAGGCTGGAGAGAAAGAGAGGGAGAATGGTTCAAGTCCAAGGTTATCACATGGCGAAAGTCGAGCCACTTGCCAGCCGCCAGCTTGGGACAGCAGCGCTCTGATGCAAGGATGCTGCCCTGCGCCGCTTCTACCAGCTGGGCCGTTTGTCTCAGTGAGTGTGCCTGTGTGCTCAAAAATGGATGCTGCAGAGCTCCGTCACAGCACAAGGATCAGATGCATAACCTGACAGACTTCCTAAGGGGGACGTCTTTACAAAACGCGAGTCCAGTCACCATCGCTCCTCCTTCTACAAGTCGCCAGCTGTCCCAGACATTGAATAGCTTGGGGAAGCCGCTTAAAAACATCGCTCTAAGTCTCCTTCCTTTGGCAGGCGATGCTTAAGTGTATCCTTTTTAGGCTGCATATTACATAACTGTTTGCAGTGGAGCTAGCGGAGCCCTGTCTCACATGCCAGAATGATGTGAGCAAAAATAAACATAATAAAAAACCTGCAAGTGTCTGTTGTGTCAAAAGTCTGAAACACAGTGGTGGACAGCTCGCTGACAGAATCCCTTCCTTATCATTTAATCATGCCGAAGCACATATGCTGTCCCAGTCGCCTGCATCTCTCCTCTCTCTCCAAGATGAGTGGGGGATTTTTAAGGTTAAAGCGCTATTGCAGCTTTGCTTGCCTGCCATATCCCTCCCTGTGCATGACATCATTGATGTGAGACAGACTCAGACTCCATGACACACTTTCAGACCACTGAATTATATGTGGCAAGGAAATGATGCCATATAGAATTAAAGCTCAGACAATTAATTAACTGGTTCACAGACAGCTATGTGGATACTTTTGAGCTTTGGAGAGTTGATCAGACTGAACAAACAGTAACAATGTGCTATGTGAATACTCTCAAGCTTTGGAGCGCTGATAAGGCAGAACAAACTGTAGCAATATGTCAACTTAGCTTTAAGAAAATTATAATTTTTCACTGTTTTTTGTCCTTTTTTGACCAAAAGACTGCCTCCTACACTGATGTGCTCTCTGAATATAAAGCTTGGTAACAGCTACACTTAACCCTCTCAGAAGACGTCCCTCAGCGCCCCATGGAAAGGTTATGATCTTTCACCCATGACGTCAACAAGCCAAGAAATCTGAAGTCATCACAACTTGTCATTAGTGCGTGAAAAGCAGCCTGAAGAGTGACGACAACCGTGTGAATTCCCCTAAATGTCAAAGTTCTCCCTCTAGCGGACAGTGTCCGCCACAACTGAGCTTCAGCCGCTCCCCAGGAAGAGGTTAATCCATTCATAGCATTATAATGACATCTACACCAGCGCACCATACTAATCACATCTGCCTTCAGATTTCAGCAGCTGCAGACCGGCGTGGAGCTCAGTGAGACAGGCTGCTACAGCTGCGAGAGCCCAAACTCACGCGTCTCGGGAGGAATATGCCAACCCAAATAGACTGCAAAATCTGTCACTCTGGAGCCAAAAACGTCACAACTTCGGCAGTGCCATTTATCAATGATAACCACAAATTCCCGAGATACATTACGGCAGGAATAAGCATGTTTAAACCAGGTTTTATCCTCCTCCTTTTTTTTCTTTTAACGGTGGACCGGTCCCTTATCCTTTACCCACTCAGGTGATGAACACACGTATGAACTTGTTTTGACATTTTCCCATAGAGCCGACACAGTCAGAGTGAGCTAATAAGAAAAGCATAAAAAGCCGTTTCATAGTTTGAACGTGCCAAAGTGAAAACTTGAGCAAAGACACACACACTGCACTTCGACTCACCTTGAGCGGCCGTTCCTCGGGTGCTGAATACACTTGCTATCAAAGTGGCCACATACCAAATCATAGTACTATTGCCGACCAGAAATAAATCTCATCATATCTCAAAGTGCCCCTTTCGGTGAATCTCTCATCGCCGGGTGCCCCAGGACAAACTGAAGCGGGCCGGTATCCTTGTCTTCTTGTTAACCGAGCCCTGGACACTTTTCCATCGGCGCTTCCCCCTCTTTCTTCCCCTCTCCTCCGCTCTCCACTCGCATCCTGAGTTGGATCACCTGCGCCAATGGGACGAGAGCAGGCGACGCTGTGAAACCAAGCCCGAGCCTTTAGATATCCACGAGCCCGCCTCCACACCCGTTTCATTGAAGGGTGTGGGTGGGCTCCGGACGCCGATTGGTTACCTGCGCTGTCGTTTTCCGAGTTGGAGTGATGCGTTCCTGGCATGTGGTGAGGCTCGGAGGTTCTGCACCTCTGCTCGGTGGAGCGCCCAGGAATAGCTGCTCGTCGCTGGCTTTTTGTGGTTTGTTTGTTTCAGTGCGAATGAACTTACATTAACAGCTGTAATGGCATGTATCGGAGAAAATAATATTATGTTGGTCACTTGTAATAGAGTTAGAGGCAAACCATCCGATATGGTAAGTGCAGCATCTCAATGATAAAACTGAAGGGAAAAACTTATTATACAAAACCACGTCAGACATCCGCAGACAGAAACAACCCAACAGGTGGTTACCCTTTATAATGGATGGAAACCAATCCTGTTTCTTTAAGGCGTTTACTGCTCTTTGACTGTATTATGCGTGACTCTGAATTTTTGCAAGTCGACGGAATCGGTGCTTATGAACAAAACGATGACTTCCTGATTTTAGCTTTTTAAAGGTAACTAATTACATCTTCCCATTTTTCTTGGACAGCATGAATGCAGCAGTGGAGGGAGCGTTTCAAGGTGGGTTGGCGTGTGGAGCTGTTGCGGAGCTGCAGTATCATGCTGCGCAATAAGACGAGAGGAATCCACCACCCTGTGTGTGTGTGTGTGTGTGTGTGTGTGTGTGTGTGTGTGTGTGTGTGTGTGTGTGTGTGTGTTGGGGGGTACATCATCACGTGACTCACACCCGTGCATTCATATCCCTTCTGAAATATGAGTTCACTGTTTAAATGACGTGCTGGTGGTCTGCCAAGTCACCAAGACTGCCATTAAAGAATCCTGACTAATTTCCAAGACTTCTGAATTCAGCATGATTCACACTTTTTCATATAACGATTCCGTCAATGGCAGTTTTAAATTCAACTGACTCAGCCTGCCTTGCTCACAAGCCATCCATCATGCCTCATAGCTAATTCTACCTCAAGGTCTGCAAGGACCCCCACACCTCCTTGAGGAGGAGGTTTTGTTAATAGCCTCTGGTAGGATGACAAATACAAGTGATTTAAAGTCATTTTTATTTAACATATTCCTGTGCGTCACTCTTATCCTTATTTACGCTGTTTCCCACGATTCCCATTCGAAACTTTGGCTGCTGTTCAGCCCAGTTTCCTGCTGAGATCAGTGAGGTTTAAGCAAATGATTCAGGTCTGACAAATCCACAGCTGAATTAACTTTGGGATGCTATACTTGTAGAAAAAATAGTCAAATCTTCCTTTTTAAAGGACATATGTAACAATTTTGTGTGTTTCACAAAATCTGTTTAATTTCACTAAAACATTTTGGCAACTTTCAAAACTTTTCTTTAAAGGAGTGTCATAATCAGTTCAATAATTATGTAATTGTATTTATTAGCAGTCTTTATATATGTCGGTGCATAGATATTGTTCCACACTAGAGTATGGTTCATACCCCTGCTGTGTTAAGGGAGAGGTGTGGGGCCCAGACTGGGATTTGGCCAAATAGACTAGTGTGCTATTTTCAATAGATAATCATTTGTAAGTAAGTAAGTAAAGTTTATTTATATTGCCCTTTTCACAGATGAAAATCACAAAGTACTTCACAATACAAAGAATGAAAATATAACACCTAACGATGTAAAACAATAAAATACAACATAAAAACAACTAATTAGTTGAAAACGTATCTATAAAAATGTCTTCAGCTGCTTTTTAAAAGAATCAATGGAGTCTGTAGAGCGTAAAAACAGTGGAAGAGAATTTGCCTAATAATTTGGCCTAGGTGGAATACATAAAGCAAAAAGAGAATTGGACCCAAGACGGATCCCTGAGGTACCCCACAAGGCTAAACATGTTTTCAAGTCTACTGGATAATAGAGCCAATGGTGCGAGTTGCCATAGCCAATCTTCAAAAGCCACACCCCCAACTCAATAAAACTGGCAGAAGTGGAAACTCACCTGTCACTTATGATCGCTTAAAGTAAACGGTCAAGCAACTCATCTAAGCCATCATGTCAGAAACAGTATGAAATTTATAGCCTGATGGATTAAACTACAATTACACCCAAGTAAACATTCGCAGCATTGTGGTTGACACTACGTTATCACTCAAGTCAAACTTGTAGATAAAAAAACTGAACTGTAGACAGACAGTTGTCACAACAGTTTAACCAGGAAAAACATGCATCACTTGTTCCAACCAGAAAGCAGGCAGAAGCATGTGGCATGTCAAGCACCAGCATATCAGTGTCTCTGACAGTGACATTGCTGTCACATAGATGCAAAGTAAGGTCTACTTTCTTGATGTTCAACGGCCATTTTGGCCTCTGTAAAGACTAGAGTACAGCCTGGATCACTGCCACAATGAGCAGTGGGCTTTAAAGGTGCTGTGTGAAGTGCAAATAGCATATGGAAATTAGGCTTTCATCACACTATCTGAGCCACACGACTATGCTCAACTCCAAGAGGCTTTTATTCTCTCCGTTGTTTAATGAGCCAGGTGTAATCTATCAACTGCTGTGGCTATAAACTGTAACAATGACACAAACTAGTATCGTGTCATTTAAAGACATGCTCTACATTTTCTCTCTATATTCTACCTGAACAAGCTCAATTTTAATTAAAAAAATAAAATCAAATCTGGAAAACATCTAAAATGCTGTCACTTAGGGGGACCTGTCCAAATATCAGAGATAATAAATTCAATTTAATAAACAAGAACATGTGATTAAGCAAAAACTTAAAATTAACTGAAATTATTTCAAATTACTGCTTAGATGAGAAGCCTAGAAAGCAGACTAAAAAAAGCAAATACTATGTTTAATAATAACCTTTCCATATTACCTTTGAGTTCTTTTTTATGTATACAGGTAACAGAAGGCAGAGGCACAGAGAGCAGAGCTCATTCCATGCAGGTACAGTATTAACACTCATTATTATTATTATTATTATTATTATTATTATTATTATTATTGTTGTTGTTGTTGTTGTTGTTAATAATAATAATAATAATAATAATAATAATAAATAATATTCAAAATGACTGTTAGTTTTACTAGAGTCAGATGTCTAAGCTTCCCAGGATCACCATGTCTGGATTTACAAAAGAAGACTGTAGATACTAAAATTCTTGCTCACCACAGAGTTTAAGTATCCTGATCCTCAGTGTACGTTACTTTCAACTCACTGATATTTACTGTTACAAGTCATGGTTTTTCTACAATTTTGTGGCCTTGTGTCTGAAGTCCAAATATACCTTCAAATAACCAAAGTGACAGCGACCTCTAATGGCCATTATCCCTCAGGGATAACTTGAGCCATTATGAGCAACAACAGACTTCAGAATATATTTATAGAAATCCCTGTCTGTGTTAATTGGTCGGGGTGGATTCATAGCTTCTCACAACACCATATACATTTTACACCTTACATCCCAACAGGTTGATTTTTGATTTATCTGGACGTAGTGTTTTTAAACCCTACATCAACCTTTTGGGATTTACTTACCTGGATGATTCAGCATGCATCAACACACTCTGCACCTTACCGTTATTAATGTGTTGTTGTGCAACGGTGACAAAAGTTCTTCTAAAAGTCCGGAAAATTAATGAAGAAAGGCTCTGCCAAAGGCTCAACCTTCAAACAAGCAAAATATTTCCCTAAACCACCACTTAAAACATCAACATGACAAACTGGAACAGATGGAAACATACATGTTCCTGATTTTGTACTGCCTGTCTGTATTCTTTTATCATTTGTTGGCCAAAGACAACATTTTTTTTACCGTGGATTTTAAAGTTAAGTCACTTTATATCAAATAAAAAAATATACATCACATCAAAGTCAGACAGCTTATTTTTGATTTAAAGGGCCAGTAGTTCTGACCTTTTAGTGTTCCAATATCACATAACCAGTAGCCTTTATATCATCACCATTAAGCCCAATCTGATTGCCAATGCAACCTTTGTACACAAGGTCAACATGTTTCCTTTTCCTCATTTGTTCCCCTCTGAAGTAGCTGAGCTGAGAAAGTGGAGTATGCAATAAAGGAGGGAACTGCAGTAGCTAAGTAAACCTGTTCCTCTCTCAGGTTCGGCCTTTGGGTCCAAAAACCTGTGCCAGTTATGACTGTTACAACAGCAACAGCGTAAAATACAGAAGTTCTGATTCCAAGTTGTGGCTACTTTTAAAAGATATGAGGGACACAATGCATCCTCCAGCAAATATTTGCTCTCTGGCACCATAAAAGATTGATTCAGCCATGAAATAGATTCTTCAGTTAAAATTCCCTTAACTGTAATGAACAAGTTATTGTGTCATTATCCACCACCATAGCTTACTGTATGAAGAAAGGTTAGTTACTGGACAGCAGTAGAAAAGTTTAAAAATAAACAATGAAAAAGCTGCTTCCACATAACCTAAGATATAAGAGCTCTTTCTTCATATGCAAGATCTCTTCTGGGTTGCGGTTGAAATCTGAGTTACATCTGACCTGATTTGTGTTCATAAATTTGCAAACTTCTCAGCTCATTTAAGAGAAACAATGTCTTGATATCCTGGATGTGTTTTGTATTGAAGCCTCCCTGTAGGCCTTGGAAAGGAAACTGCAAATACATGTGAACTACAATAACAACTTTGTACATGGGCCAGATTTAAGCTGAAGTTTAGCACTTGTGTAAAACAATTCTTTGGTAAACGTTAGAGTAATTCAGCTTCTGTACTCAATAAAAGAAATTCAGTTCAGTCTGCCAGGGTGGCTGGAGTCTATCCTAGCTGTCATAGGCAAATGGCAAAATGGCCTGTATTTGTATAGTGCTTTACTTAGTCCCTAAGGACCCCAAAGCTCTTTACATGTTCAGTCCTCCACCCATTCACACACACATTCACA